TTTCCTGGATAATATTCCAGGTGCTGATGAGAAGAGTCTGTAACTGTTGGATAAAATGTTCTATTAATGCCTACTTGGTCCATTTGGTCTAAAATGCAACTTAAATCTAATGCTTTGTTGTTAATTTTCTATCTAGATGACCTGCCTAATGCTGAGAGTGGGGTGTTGAAGTTTTTAACTATTGTTGTATTGAAGTCCATCTCTTCCTTTAGATCTAATAAATATCTGCTTTATATATCTGGGTGCTCTGGTGTTGAGTGCATATATGTTTAGAATTGTTATATACTCTTGTTGAATTGATTCATTTATCATTATATAATTACCTTCTTTGTCTCTTTTTAATTTTTCACTTAAAGTCTGATTTAGCTCATATAAGTCTATTCATTCTTGCTTTCTTTTTGCATGTGATTCTTTTTTTTTGTCTGTCCTTTTACTCTCAGTCCATATGTGTCTTTACAAGTGAGATGTGTTTCTTGTAGAAAGCATATAATAACTAGGTCATTTTAAATCCATCCAGTCATTACATACTTTTTTAACTGGAAAGTTTTATCCATTTATATACAAGGTTATTATTGATATATGAAGGTTTATTCCTGCTATTTTATTAACTGATTGCTGGCTGTTTTATACATCTTTTGTTCCTTTATTTTTCTCTTATTGCTTATCATTTGGGTTTTGGTGGATTTCTGTAATGGCAATCTTTGAGTCCTTTCTCTTCTTTGTTTGTGTTTGCTCTACTAGTGAGTTTTACACTTTTATGCATTTTCATGATAATAGATGTTCTCTTTTCACATTCTCTCCGGGTCTGTAAAGTTTCTATTCATCTGATGGGGTTTCTCTTACAAGTAACTAGATGCTTTTCTCTTGCTATTTCTAGAATTTTGTTTTGTTTTTGACTTTTGACAATTTGACTATAATGTGGCATAAAGGAAACCTTTTTAAATTGCACCTGCTTGGAGATTTCGGAGCTTCCTATATTTGAGTGTCTAAGTCTCTCCTTTCCATTAATAAAGGACTTTAAAACTTTTATGCTTCCATTTCCTCCCCCCATCCTGACTTGTATTCTATTGTCATCTAATATTTGAAATTTTTCATTCCCACAGATCAGACACTACTAGTATCTGATATCAATATTGCTGGTTCAGAATTAACCACTTGTTTTCCATTTTATTTGTTTGCCATTCCTTCATGCATCTCAGCCTGTCTTTCCCAGATCATTTTCCTTCTTGAAGTAAACCTTCAGACTTTCCTTTACAGTGGGGAACAGTGACAAACTCCTTTGGCTTATGCTTATCTAAAATTATTTCAAGGAGCTTACAATCATATAGCCAAATCATTTCTCAGAGCCCAGACAACAAGAAAGATCACTAGTCTTAATGAGCTTAACCTACAGAGAGTGGGCTAGAAGTCAGAGCACTTGCTTCTCTCAACACTTTGTCCATACTTTACTGGCTGGGTAAGTGGTGTTGAATGTCACACCTCCCTGAAGCATCCCCTTCCACTATTTAATGTGAGATTTAGTTTCATAAATGAGTTCTAAGCACTACATAAGGGGTCCTACCTGTGAAAGTACACCCATCTCTGGATCTGGACAGTTTAGATGGTAGGTATCTACTTTCTTGCTGCCTCAGTTTACAGGTTGTGGTCCATACCCTACTGCCCAAGTCCGTATCTGTTCTGCCTTAGGGGTCATGGCCATTCTTGGAGTCAGCCCCAAGCCAGGGGTCTGAGGGGGCCTCACCAAGCTAGTAAAAGAACTGGCCTTTATTTCCCTAGGTATAAAATGGACACCTGATGAGAATGGAGTCATTACATTTGACTGCCGAAATCGCGGCTGGTAAGATCTCACAGGGGAAATGTCTTTGGGACTGGCATTTGTCTTATAGCTGTTGGGTTTTGCCTGGTTCTTCTCTACTCCCTTCCCTCTCCCCACCACCATTCAAGACCTCAGATGTATAGAACCTTGATCCAAAACAGAGTAAACTCTATTCCTGTTTTCTTTCCTCTATACCTGCCCTTTCTCTAAGACTGATTATATTCATTTTTCTCACCCCAACCTTCCAGAACACTGAGTTGTCTCCCAGTGAACCTGCTATTAGGTTTTTCTTACTCTAAATGCCCCTTTTATGGCAGATATGAGGGTGGATCCCCGTTATCCTCCTTCCCTCAGGGACCCTGGCTGGTATAAATCAAAGAGAGTGAGGGGTTTGCCCATTAAATGGGGATATTCTCAACTATTGCCACCCCAAAAGGTTTGAAACTGCATTGAGTGGTTCTAGGACATTAGAAAACTGAAATAGGTAGGGCATTTACCTGAGTTTTGTGTACACTTGGGCCAGAATCTGAATAGAAATAACTTGGAGATGCTTGGTACCATCTTGGGCCTCTCTCTCTTTTCTGCTAAAGGTACATCCAAGCTGCTACTTCTCCCAAGGACATAGTGATTCTGGTGGATGTGAGCGGCAGTATGAAGGGGCTGAGGATGGCCATTGCTAAGCACACCATCTCCACCATCCTGGACACCCTAGGAGAGAATGACTTTGTTAATATTATTGCGGTAAATGTGTCTTCCTGTTCTAGAATAGCTGTCAGTTGCTCTAGAAAAGCCTTTCCTCCACCTGCACGAGAATGACTTATATATACAGCCATCTGATGCTTCCTGCTGTGTACAGTTCTTTCTTCTAAAGCTGAGACTTCTTCCTAACCCAGGGCCCATGGGCTGACCAAGAATGGCCTTTGAGAGGTCCACGAAGTTTCTGAAATCATATGAAAAGCAGACATCCATTTTTCTGTGTCTGTATTTTTTATCAATTTCTTAAAGGTGTCTGGAACCCAATAAAGATTAAGAACAACTGGCTCCCACTTTAGCCCTGACTACACACAAGTGCTCTTGATGAGCACCTGTTGCCAGCATGGCTGTCCATTCTGCTGTTGGAGGAACAGCCCCAGGCTTCTTCACCATGGCTCAGTTCTTCCACGTCCTCTATCATATCCAAACACAGACACACTGGGAGACAGGAGAAATAAAGAAGAAAAGGAGAGATACAAGTTAGGAGAATGATCTAAAATGCAAGAAAAGGGTGGCTCAGTTCAGCCCTTTTATTTATTTATTATTTTCTTCATTTTTGTTTTCTTTTTTTTTTTTTTTGAGAGTCTCACTTTGTCACCTTTGGTAGAGTGCCATGGCGTCATACCACACAACAATCTCAAACTCTTGGTGTCAAGTGATCCTCTTGCCTCATTTTTTCATTGAGATGAGGTCTCACTTTTGCTCAGGCTGGTCTCAAACTCCTGAGCTCAAGCAATCCACCTGTCTCATCCTCTCAGAGTGCTAGGATTACAAGCATGAGACACTGTGGCCAGCCAGTTCAGCCCTTTTAACAGTTACCCTGGGAGGGTATCATTTTGAAGAACAGCTGATCCAAATTTCCTCCAGTCTGACAAATTTCCTCCATTGCTGACGATTCTTATCTTTAGTAAAATTCACTTATCTAGTTTTAAAAAAATAGTGAGGCAAATTTATCTGACTTCAAAATGATAATGCTGGGGTACAAATGCCCTCCCTTCTAGAGTGGTTCTCCTGCACCTGCAGCTTACCCACCATGGCCCTCCATGCTGGCCTCCCCCTCTGACCTGTAGCAGTGACAACACAGACACAGAGAATAGGTCCAACATGCACTACGGTGAGATAGTTCTTGTCTCTCAAAGCCTGACTTCCCTCCTACCTTCTTGCCTAGTACCTCCAGCTGGTGGAGGAGTCACCATCGGGAGACATAATGTTCTTCCAGAACACCTACCCAGTTCTGCACCACTGTCCCCATCATCTCCCCTTTCTGCCCCCTCTATGCATGAAGAAGGCAGATTAGGAACACCTTGAGGATTTGTGTTTTAACTAGGGGGAAGCAGGCTGATTAAGAAGATGAAAGCAGCAATAATGCATTTTTCTCCCTCTGCCCACCCCTCCATTGACTGCTAAAGGACCCTCTTCACTGATGCGGCCAAAGAGAAAAAGGGCACAATCTCTAATCTTCCCACCTGGGCATGGTGGGGAGGAGTCTGTCCATGGCAGGCTCCAAAATTCTGAAGGAAGACATCTCCTCTGGTCTTGGGGGCAGACAGCAAAAGTATTCTGTCAGTAACTGTAAGTTCTCCATAAACCCTAGGAGATGGATATCACTCAGGCAGCCCCAAGACCAGGCTTTGAGGGAAGATTTTCAGAGTTAAAGCCCTGTTCTCTCTACTCAGAAAAAATGCCAAAAGCATTGAGTTCCCCAAGATGATATTACACAGGTGGCTTGGTGACCCACTCCCCAAACCCTGCTGTGAGCTGTCTTAGCTCTTTATTGGCCCCAGCTCCCCAAACTGACCGGTTTGTTCCTTTCTCCCTTCCCCTCCCCCCTGCAGTACAATGACTATGTCCATTACATCGAGCCTTGTTTTAAAGGGATCCTCGTCCAGGCAGATAGAGACAACCGAGAGGTGAGTGTCCACCTGTGACCTGGTGCCTTTGGGACCCTGCTCCTGTCAGGATTGGGGGAGTCTGCTTCCACAGCCCCTTTAATTCACTCCCAAAGGCTCCCATTGGGAGCTGAGCAAGCAGGTGGTTTCGCATGCAGACACACCCGAGAAACTCTCCAGTACCGATGCTGCTGCTTAGCAGAGCACAGTGAGCAAACAGAGACCTCACTGCTCAGGGAATCTCACATATCTAGGGCTGGTTTTTCACCCTCTGGCTTATCCAGGACTCCGTTTCCCCCTCTGCTTCCCACCTGGACCTTTCTGTTGTGTCAGTCTTCATGAGGAGCTTCCCTCAGAGCAAATTCAAACCCTTTGAATTGAGTCCTTTTCTTCAGTAAGAGACCAGGGAGGAGAGGACATAGCAACAATTTTTTGGAGGGAGATTTTGCATGTCACAGATCACTCCCTCTGTGACTGAAGAATTGAAGTTTGACTTCCTCTGAAGTCTAGCCTCAGTCCCTGGGACCTCCATAGTTTCTGCTATGAAATGAGCACCCCTGGATGTGGTTGACCCTGAATGCTGAGGTCAAGGTCATCCCTGCCTTTGTCCTAGGACTGTCCTCCCCTCTGGCTGGACCCACACTTGGCATTTCCTCCCAGTAATAGACATGGGTCTGTACCCAGCCACTCACGCTCTCTTGGTTTGTCTTGAGGGCCTTTGAGAAATATCTATCATAGGGATCCAGCCCATTAAATTGGCTGCCTGGTGGAGATATGGGCCCTGTGAGCATGTCCTTCTGGGCGGTAGCCCTGAATGGCCTCCTGAATTGAGAGCAGAGATGAAGGTCCCTGCCCACTGATGCTTCTCTGCACCTTGCCTATGACAGCATTTCAAGCAGCTGGTGGATGAGCTGATGGTCAAAGGAGTAGGGGTCGTGAACCAAGCCCTGAGCGAAGCCTTCCAGATCCTGCAGCAGGTACTGTAGCTGATGACATGGTAGGGGCAGAGAGTGGCCTGGCCTGTGGTCATGGGCCTCCCCTTCTCCACACAGTTCCAAGAGGCCAGGCAAGGGAGTCTCTGCAACCAAGCCATCATGCTGATCACTGACGGGGCTGTGGAGGACTATGAGCCAGTGTTCGAGAAGTATAACTGGCCAGACCGCAAGGTGACTCTCCTGGCAGGGGAGGAGCTGGGAAGGAAGGTTCTGCCACTGCCAAGGGGAGAGTTCTCCTGGTACAGATGAAATGACCCCACATTCCAATGTTCTTTCACATTAGACCCAATCACACATTCAAATATGTCCTAATTTGGTGTTCCAAAATTATGGCAACCCTAGGCACAGAAGCCTGGTATGAAGGCCTTCAGGTGGAGGGACCCGAATATGGTTTTAAGGCATCAGAATTGCTGAGCTATGAGCTTGGCCTTGCATTTACCCTATGATTACCTTGGCCTAGGGGAGTCATGTTGCCTCCCTAAAGGGTCTTTTCTGCTCAAAAGGGGGATGAGATTGGAAAAGACAAAGACTAAAAAGTGCCAGGCTCAACATCTAAGACTCACGTAGATGATGTTACATCTGTGTCTTCGGGTTAGGTTCGAGTTTTCACTTACCTCATCGGGAGAGAAGTCACTTTTGCTGACCGCATGAAATGGATTGCATGCAACAATAAAGGTAAGTGCTGAGGCAGCAGAGGCCTCATGGCTCGGGGGCCTGAGCATGGGGTGGCATTGCCCAGTCACCCAGAGATGCTGAGCTGAGCCGAGCACAGGCTTCTCCATGGGGCCTTATGGAGAAGCAGCTCTGGGGAGGACAGCAGCCTCTGTTCCTCCTCCTTAGCTGGAAAAAGCAGATAAAACCTAAGTTTCTCCGTAACACCTTCAGCAAATGCTTGATTGCTCCTTCAGGGAGTCTGAAGTCATGAAGTCACCGAAATGAAAATTAGAGGTCATCTATCTGGTGTTTGCACAAGAGACAAGAACTGCACCTTCAGATAAAGGTTTATACAAAATCACAATGTAGAAAACAGGGAGAGGCAGGGTAGGTTGACATTTTTAGCATAAACTCTCTCTAACATCCTGCTCCATTCCTCCTGTGGCCAATTAAACCACTGATACTAGCTCTGCTCCCCTACAAAAAGCAGAGGGTTACCATTTTCTTTGAAATAATCTTTTGTGTGAAAACTGTCCTCAGCTACCTCTGATCAGAACTCAAGACCATCTTAGGCCCTGGTGATGCAACAAAACTTTGTTGGGCACCTGGCACTGTTCCCAGACACGAGTATTACCAAGGGGTCAGGACAGACTCAGGAGCAGCCTTTCTCTGGGCACTGTACCACAGGGGGACAAGGGAGGGAGCCAGTTAATGACACACCTGCAGTTTTCTGTGATGGGTGAGAGGTGTGGACTGGCCATGGCACTAGGGGAGCATGGCAGAGGTGCCTCCTGGGTGGGATGACTGGGAGGGGTACAGCAGACAGAGAGAATGGCATGTTCCAGGGATTTGGAACAAGAGGCAAATGGGAGCCGAGAGGAGCTGAGAGCAGCTGCATTTCACAGCGTGTGGCATGGGCACTGTGGGAGCAGAGGCAGGCACACACTGGCTCCCATGAGGAGGCTGTGACATCCCACCCCATAACCTTCAGGACAGTGATTGGGGGAAGGACAGAATCACTGGCTCTGATGGGGTTGCCTTACAACAGGCAGTCACAGAAGACTCACTGGGGAGACGCCCTTCAGGGAATGGGGAACACAGCCTCGGACCCCTAAGGTCCTCCCAGTTGAGCACCTGCTGCTCCCATGGGAGGCCTGAGGAGATCTCCAGGTGGAGGACGATGGGTCTTTGTCTCCCATTGGCCTGTGGCCCCGGGAAGAGGGAGAAACTGTGGGGAGTGGCATCCTGCAGCCAGGACAGTCCTAGACAGGGCTTAGTTGTGAGCCGGGAGCCAGGGGTCTGCGGTCCTGTCAGGGGCTGCCCACACCCGCCTTCCCCCACCAGGCTACTACACGCAGATCTCCACACTGGCGGACGCCCAGGAGAACGTGATGGAGTACCTGCATGTGCTCAGCCGGCCCATGGTCATCAACCATGACCACGACATCACCTGGACAGAGGCCTACATGGACAGCAAGGTGAGAGTGACTTCCTAGGCCAGGAGGGTAAGCATAGTACCTCAGCGGGGAAAGTTCTGTCTGCATTCCCTTTTACTCCCCTGCTCCCCCAGGCATCTGCAGACCTGCTGTGTGGAGCAGGCCTCCCCCAAGTTGTCCCTCCCTGGCTTCTATTCCCACCCAACCCGTAATTCTTCATCCTACGGCTTCATTGCGTGTCCTCCCTTCCTGCACTCCTGCATTTTGAAAAGACTGTAGGCAGTAAGAACACACACAGGGGATTAAAATCAAAGGCAGAACTTCAGATGAGACTTTGCAAGGAAGGAGGAGCTTCGTTCCCCCGCTCACATCACACCCCATGTGCAGCCGTCTCCTCACTGATGGCCTGTCAGTCCGGAATCCAGAGGGACCTGAAAGGAGCAGCTTAGTAGGAGAAGTGTGTTTCTCCCTCCATCACATGACGTCTAGGGTGGACATCTGAGACATGCCCAGGAGGCTCCTTCCTGCGGGCCCCTTCACTGTTGCTGGGATGTGACCCTTGTCCTCCTGGTCCACATAGCTGGTGGAACTCTAGTCAACTGAAACCACGTTCAGAGCACCACGTTGGTGGAAGGGGCCAGGGGCGTGCTCCACTCCTTCAAAGGAAACTTCCTGGGAGGCCTGTGTGGCCCAGGAGTGTACGTCCCATCAGCCAGAACCTGGTCCCTTGCTGACCCCCTGTGACAAACAGCTTGGGGACGCAGGCTCTGGCTTTTCTTCTGACGTGCCCTGTGTCTGAGGACAGTGGCACATAGCTTTGCCTATCAACAGTAGATAGGAACCATCTTGCCGAAAGGGTGAAAGGTTCATTAATCCACTTCATAGGGGCTCAGCCATAAGGTCATCCACAGGATGTCATCCAACTGTCACCAACTGCTGCTCCCAGAGCTCTGCTCAGAAGGGCTGTGCCTGCCTCATTCGGGCAGGTTGCCCCTTTCCTTGTCCAGGTGTCCATCTTGGGGACAGATGAGCGAAAGCTGGGGGAGGCAGGAGGAGGGACTGTCGTTGAGTCTCATCTTCCCGTGCGCCATGTCTCACACTTGTCCCTCCCTTCCATTCTCCCTTCACCTTCATCATGCAGACACAGGGCCCCATGGCAGCCAGCACGGCCTGTGAGGGCTGCACCTTAAGTGACTCTGCGCGTGCAGTGTCGTGGGCGTTTGCTCTTGTGCATGGGAGGTGGGAAGGGAAGGCATGTAGAGCCCTGTCAGAGGAGCCTGGCCTGGCTAGCCATTGCCACACCCGGTAATGGTGGCCTGGAGTGTTGGGGTGTGTCTGCCAGAAAGGACAGGGCAGGTAAAAGCTCGCTTCCCTATAATATTATCAATATTGTCAGACGGTCGTCCTTAGCATTTCATGGACAGCCTTACCTCCCAGGGTTTTGTCTTCCCTCTGTGTCCACAAAGGAAGTTACACTTTAAAAGTGACATGCAGGGAGGTGCAGCAGCTCACGCCTGTAATTCTAGCACTCTGGGAGGCCAAGGTAGGTAGATTGCCTGAGCTCAGGAGTTCAAGACCAGCCTGAGCAGGAGCAAGACCCTGTCACTACTAAAAATACAAAAACTAGCTCAGGAGAGACTAGGGCACCTCCTTCCAACCCATAGGGGTCTGCCTGGGCTCAGAACAAAACTCAGATTCATTGTAGTTCACTTTCAGATGAAAGGAGAAGAACTTGAAAGTCTTCTGTGCACTTCCATGTCCCAGCAGCCTCCTTTAGTTGATCTCAAGGAAGGTCAGACTTGCTAATGGAAAAAATAATCTCAAGAGTTTTATTCTGAGCCAATGTACATGACTATGGCCCCAGGACACACAAACCCAAGAAGCCTTGGACCACCACAGTTGGATGACCATTTGGTTTCATATATTTCAGGGAGACAGGAATTGCAAGGAAAATTCTAAGTCAGTAAGTCAACACATGGAAGGTATTCATCAGTTTGGCCCCCAAAGTGTAACATCTCAAAGCTGCATGGTGGGGTGGGGGGTTACAAGTCACAGGTGGGTTTGGAGATTCTTTAACCAGCAATTTGTTGGGAGAGTTAAACTTGTCTAAAGCTTTGGAGTCAGTAGGAGGAAATGCCTAAGACAAGAAACTCTGCTAAACACGGAGCAAGCCACAGTCACCCAGTCAGGTGATCTGCTAAGCACGCTAAAGGCCTACAGGCATGACTTAACCTGTGTCCTGCTTGGCCTTAGGTCCTGTTTGCAATTTAATGGGGTTTTTTGTTTGTTTGTTTGTTTTGAGACAGAGTGTCACTATGTCACCCTTGATAGAGTGTCCTGGCATCACAGCTCACAGCTCACCGCTCACAGCAACCTCAAACTCTTGGGCTTAAGTGATTCTCTTTCCTCAGCCTCCCAAGTAGCTGTGTCTACAGGAGCCCACCACAACACCCAGCTATTTGGTTGTTGTTGTTGCAGTTGTCATTATTGTTTAGCAGGCCCAGGCTGAGTTCGAGCCCACCAGCCCCAGTATATGTGGCTGGCGCCCTAACCACTGAGACGGGTGCTGAGCCTATAATTTGGTATCTTATTGCCACAGAGTCTGTTTTGTCAGTCTTATGATCTGTTTTAACATTAATGCTGGTCAGTTTTTGTCTAAACTCCAAAAGGGATAGTGTATCATGAGAAGTGTCCGACCTCTCCTCCCTTCATAGAAGGGAGGCTGGAACTCACTTTTAGGACTTTTCTGAGGTCCCTTGGCCAAGAGGGGGTCAATTCAGCCAGCAAGGGGCTTCGGATTGTAATTTAGTTTATGAAACATACCTGCGTGCACACTCCCAGCAGCTGTGTTTGTTGTAAAGTAGGGCACACGTGCAGATCCCCTTCAAGGCAGCAGGAGGAGCCGGCATGGTGGGGTCAGGGGGATCAGGCAGTCCCAGAGGCTAGGACGATACTGGTCCTGGGCCTGTGTGTGGAGGTAAGGTCATGAGTCTGTCCTGTACTGTTCGGGATGACCCTGAGGCAGAATTCAACTATGCTTGTGGGGTGGGGCTGGGGGCGGGGGCTGGACCAATGTCTTCTCTCTCTTCCCTGGTCTGGGCTGCAGTCATAGCAACCTCACCTCAGAGATTTGGCATCAGAGGTTTCTGGAAAGCTTGCTGTGCAAAGCCTCTTTGCTTCTGGGCAGGCATGGATGGGCCTGTCCCCTGGGCTCATGCTCCTTGGCCTGGCTGAGATGAGAGAGCTTAGTGAGTGTGCTCAGGAGCAGGACAGCGGGCTCAGGATTTTGTTAAATGATATTGGCAGGTCCTCCCCTGTGGGCCACCTTGGTCCCAAGCATTCCTACCAGCTCTCATTTTGCAGAGAAGGGAGCCCAGGTCATACCCTCTGACCCCGTTGTCCTTCCCGGGCAGCTCCTTACCTCACAGGCCCAGACCCCAATGCTGCTCACCACTGTGGCCATGCCAGTCTTCAGCAAGAAGAATGAGACGGTGAGTAGCTGCTCCTGAGAGGCGGCAAAGGGGGCTGGAACTCAGAGCCACTGCCAGCACCTCCAGACCTGAGGTTCTTGACTTGGCTGAGGGGTGAAGCCACCTTCAGAGGGTTTGAATGCGGAGTCCCTGTTGGAATCTCTTGGTTGGGGTGGTGCTAGGGTCTAATCCCGCCCAGCCACCTAGGGGTTCTCCACTGCTCTGCTTTAGGGATATAAGGTTGGGGGAGGGGGGTGTATCACCTGCCAGACTATCGGCAAAGCCACACTTAACCTACCAAGTCCAGCAGTCTCTGACTTGTTTGTAAAGAGCCTTCCATCATTTACTGGGCCAGGAAATGTTTCATTATAGGCCTGTGTGCTTCAGAGCTCCCATGAGCTATGGGCTGTAGGATCCCACACTTCAGCTTCTGCTGTGAAGATTAATATTTCATTCAACTTTGTATTTCATTTAAAGATTACAACTTAAATATTAATACAGGGCATTAATCTTCCCAGCATCTGAGATTACTCCTGTGGCCTCTTCTGACAGGTTCTAGACTTTTATTCCTGGGAGCTCAGCCTGAAATCTAACGACAGAGGAAGGACCACTTAAAGCCCAGTGGCTTCCTCCTCAGGGCTCTGGGTAGGCCTGGGGTCTGGTCTGGATCTGTACTCCGGGAAGGTGCACCTGCCCTGACCCCAGTGATTTTTCTTCCAGCGGTCTCATGGCATTCTACTGGGGGTGGTGGGCTCTGATGTGACCCTGAGAGAGCTAATGAAGCTGGCACCTCGGTACAAGGTGAGCCTGGGTCTGGCCCCTGAGGTGAGTCATTGGTTCCCCAGGATCTGCCCCCAGGCCCAGGTCACCCTCTTCAGGTAGTGGTAGCCAAGCCCATTGCTAGGATGGGGCCCCTCTAACAGCCTCTAGGGCAGTGGTTCTCAAACCTTCCTAATGCCAATACCCTTTAATATAGTTCCTGTGGGTCGTGACTCACAGGTTGAGAAGCGCTGCTCTAGAGGGTACAGATGTTGAGTATGGGACAGCAGCTTGTAGCCCTGGGTCCCTTTCCCACCACCAGCTAGGACTTGCTCTGTGGCCTGCAACAAGTTCCCTCCCTGCCCGGTGCCTCAGTGTCTCAGTGTCTCAGTGGGCTTCTCCATGTGGCACAGCCCTGTTCTGAGAGTGAGATGACATCCTGAGAGTGCCAAGAGCACATGGTGGGAAAGAGGTCAGGTGAGGACACGCATTACTGCAGTTGCTGTCCAGGTGGCATTTGGAAAGGACTTCCCAATCAGTGGATAGGAGCATGGCACCGGCTCCATTAAGCTCCTGTTGGAAACACTCACTGCCATGAGCAGCTGCCTTTCACCCTCCTAGAGCCCAAGCCCTTTCCCAGCCATAGTCACTAGCACAGGCAACCCCCTGACACCCTCTGTCCTGACCTTGCAGCTCGGAGTGCACGGGTATGCCTTTCTGAACACCAACAATGGCTACATCCTCTCACACCCTGATCTCCGACCCCTGGTAGGTACAGATCTTCTTTTCCTTGGGATCTTAACTGCATGGTATCTGGGAGTGGTCTCCCTAAAACAGTCAAAACAAGGAACACACACTGGGCTCAGGTTAGGAACCCAGTGGGTCATATGAGAAAAATATTGAGAAAAATTTCAGAAAAAGAGGCATTTGAGTTACGGTCCCTGTTGGCAAATTGGTTTATAATCTAGCAGAAGAAACCAGGCAAACTACGCGAAATGATTGATGAACAGACTGAGAGTGTGTAATGAGGTGTGCATTTCCGAGACTAAAGAGCCCTGCAGGGCCGTCCCTCAACACGGCCCTGGGCTGTATGGGCAGAGCTCAGGGGCCCATGGAGTGGGGTGTGAGTGGAGTGTTTGCCATGACAGCGGAGAGGACCCCTCTCCCAGGTGGGCAGTGTGGAGTGTGTCTTAGGACCTGCTCCTAGCGGCCCCTGTCCCTCCTGGCTCACTCCACCCTGATGCTGTATCTGAGGTGTCTTCATGTGAGTTCAGCTGAGTAGTGGATGGCCAAGGCAGAAAGGTGCATTGTTTTATCTGGAAGCTCTGCCTCCAGGGCTAAGGTGCTGGACATGGCTGCCCACAGCATTAATGGCTACTCCTCTCCATGCGATTGCTGGAATTGAGGGAGTTACCATCCCCAGGGAGTCACAGCCCCTTCCCCTCCACCAGCCGAGGACAGTGGGCAGCAGAACACCTTTCCAGAGAACTCACTGCAGAGCTTTGGCCCTGCAGTGGAAGGGATCAGGCTCCCACTGCAGGGCCAAACTCTTTTGGAGGGATCAGGCTAAGCCATGTTTCCTTCCATTTGGTTCAAATAGGTGCTCAGTGTCCACAAGGCAACTGAGTAAGTTATTTAAGGCAAAGTGTGGGTGTTTGGAGAAGAAAGAGAGATCAGGGCACACCAGGGACAACTCTGCTCATAGGGCAAGAATTCACAACATGTCACTGTGATTCTGTGGGGCACTGCAAAGTGCCAGTAAAAGGACTCACTAGGGAAATAATAAAAATGCAGATTTGGAGCTGACTTGTGAAATTAAGGGGCACTGATCAGAGACCCACCCATCACCATCTCTATAACCTAGATGAATACAAAGCTCCAACCTACCACTTCATCTCAGGGACCTCCTGTGTGACTCACCACATGACACTGTGAAGAATGCTGCAAACAGAAGTTTATAGTCTAATTAAGGAAATCAGACTTAACACAAACAAAGTGATCAGACACTATTACACAACCAAAGATGCGGTGAAGCCCATGTGATGAGATCGCTAAGGAAAGTGCTAGTAGGAAAACAATAGTTAAGTTTTAAAAAAATAATAGAAGAGATGTCCAGTAATAAATTTTAAAAAGTCAAGAACCATGCTGCTGGCCTGCTATCTTTCTATGCCAGTGCCAGAGCAGGAGTAATTAGCAAGAGTTCTAACATGAGGAACTAAAAATGATCTTTCAGATGCCGTCAGGACCTGGGAAATGCCAGTTGAATGTTGAACCACACTCAAAAGGAACAGATCCCATGTTTGATGAGTGTGGCCCCCAACAAGGCCAAAAGCAGGAGTATGCTCCAGGCAGGAGTGAGGAGAAAGGGAGAAGGAGGAAAGGGGGTCCTCAAGATCTCCTGGATGGGCATGAAATAAAGATGATGCTTTCCTGAAAAAAGCAAATAAACAAAAAACTGGCAGAAGCAAAATCACTACGACACTCCCAGGCATCCACTGGCGGCTTCATTCTGCTAAAAGTAGACGCCCTGATGAATTCTTAATTTGCTTGATGATAAACTGCTATCTTTCTTTTTTGATAGAGTTACTAAACTAAAACTTGGAAGTGCTGCAAGGCCTAATGGGAGATAAGTTGGTAATTGTCTTGGCAGGAGAGACGGCAGGGACAGGGGTGGCGATAGAGAGAGAGAAAGGGAGAGAGAAATCAGGGCCAGAAAATAACAACACTTGGAGCGTTGATGAATGGCTCTGTGTCAAGTTAGAGGGAGTTCTTTATTAAGCACTATGGATCTGTCCTTGTCTCTGCCCCATTCAAAATTCTATCATACAGAAGGCAGACGCTGTAAAATCTGGAAGGTATGGTGAATGTAATACATTAAGTGAGAAAATTAGTATGCAGAAAGTATTCTTCTAAACAATGGGCTGAACCTAACATGATCAAATATATCAGGGACGCATGGAAAGATCTGAAAATTACTCAGTTCCCAAGCATGAGATTGTGAAGATGCAATTTGACAGTGAATCCCATGAGGAAGACCGTGGGGATTTGATGGGCTAGAATCTCCATCTGAGCTGCGCTGGCAGCATAGCCATCCAGGAAGCCAGCAGCCTTCCAGGCAGCTGTCAGAGCTGCGTGATGCTTTGGTCCCCAGGTCAGACCCACACCACACTGGTCAGACCCCACCTGCAATACTGGTTTTTGCCCTGGGAATTCCATCTGGGGAGTGACATTGACAAGGTAGAGCACATTTACAGGAAGTTGAAGCATCTGCAAACTGGGGGTGTTTAACTTGGAAAAAAGATCTCAGGAGTGACAAATAAGTACCTTTGGAAATCTCAGAGGTTGGCAGGTGAAACATAGTCTGTATAGCTCCAGGGAAAGAACCAAGAACAGTGGGGAAAGTTACATGGAGACAGATTTCAGCTCCATGTGAGGAAGGACTTTCTAACAATTAAAGCTGTCCCAAACTGTGATAAGCTGACTCACAAAATAGGGCGCTCCTTGTCATGGGAAATATTCAGAGGCCGTGGGACCATCTGTCACAAATGTCAGCAAGGGGAGCTCTTCACTGGGTGGAAATTTGGCCTGGATAACAGTAAGGAGTCACTGTGATTCTTTGACTTTACAAAAGATACCTGAAAGGTGGCAGAAGAGCTGAAGCTCGAGCAAGGCCTACACTGACCTCATGTTTTTCTTCCCAACCTGCCCACTCCAGTACAGAGAGGGGAAGAAATTGAAACCCAAGCCTAATTACAACAGTGTGGATCTCTCTGAAGTGGAGTGGGAAGACCAAGCCGAGACGGTGAGTAGGGGCAGGTGGGGCGGAGAGCTGGTTGGGCTCTCTAGCCAACTAACTGGGTCGCCGCGTGGCTGGAAGCTTTGAGGTCACTCTGTTCCTCTCAGCAGAGCAGCTCATTCCCAGAGTCTCTCCAAGCCCAAGGCAGAAGCGATTCTTATAATGGGCAATTCTTTTAACAACTGTAAAAATATAACTGTACCTTGCTGAATCACAAGGACTACTGAGGCCAAATGAGATCATGTCTCTAAGCTATGGAGTGTGAGTAGCAACGGGGTTTTAGCCTGGCCCCTGGTTTTCGTGTCTCATCCTGGAGGAAGTTATGTCTCAGCAATGTGACACCCTGTGCCCCAATGTATAGGTCCACTTTGGAGCGCTATCTTGGTGAATCCCAGAACTATAAACTAAAAGGAATCTGGAATCAGGTCTATCTTCCTGCCCTACATTCCACTCAGATGAAAAAAGGATGAACCAAAATGTTGGTGGGGTGCTTCTCTAGTCTAGTTAGGGCCACTCCATATCCTCCACCCTCCCGTGTGAGCCAGGGGCCTGACAGCGTTGTCTTTCCTCCCAAAGCTGAGAACAGCCATGATCAACCGGGAAACAGGCTCGCTCTCCATGAATGTGAAGGTTCCGCTGGACAAAGGGGTAAGGAGCTAAAATCAAAGGGCCAGGCTGCCATCCGAGCAAGGCAACATCTCTGTTCCTTGAGTTCTGGGTGGTGACAATGGACTTGGACTCAGCTCACATCTGAGCAAGGTTCAGACTAGAGTCCTTGCTGTGGCCTGGAGGGCTTGATTTGAGAGTGCGCCCAAGGCTTGTCCCACTGGAGAAACATCTGGCCGAGGAACCCCACGATGGCACACACAATGCCTAGCTCTCTGGAAACTACTGAGCTAGGCAGCAGGCCAGCCAAGGCATTTACAACTTTCCTTTCTCCCTTATGCTGCCTGCTATTTGGCCATTTTGTTGTTGATGGTGGAAAGGGGGGAAGTGGCAGTTAATTTTGCAAATTGCTAGCAGCTCTTGTAAAACATGTTCTATGGGGAAAGGTTGAAAATACAATCTCTACAGCTGATTTTCATCCACTGTAACCTAAGAACCAATACCCTCGTTGATACCATCACTACCTTTACAGACCTGCCCATCATTTCTAAGAGAGAATTCATCTTCTCACTTGAAAGATGCCAATGTGTCTACTGAATCTGATTGTCCCTTGACATATTTACAAATGCCACCTGCTCCCTCATAGCCACCCCTGACTTCTCCTCCTGCTGCCCATCTGCCTCAGCCAAAGGAACACGGCATCTGTCTGCATCAATTAGACCCAAGTTCCTCCACAACACAGGCCTCCATGAAGCCAAACAAGAAAGCATTGGGAAGGAAGGACCATGCCTGACATCCCTTTTAGACCCCGGACTTGTTTTCACTGGGACTAGTGTCTGATTCCTATGGCATCTGGTTGGCTTTTTCTAAGCTCAGGGATGAGCAAGGCAGACCAGGCACTATCAGTGATGTCAGGCTACCAGTGGCAGCTGCTTCTCCTGATCCAAAGCAGTCAAGTCTTCTTCCATGTGCCCTTACCCTTAGCCCAGCCAGACTTCCACTCACATGCACGAGGGGACTTTCACCTACCCCAGCCTTGCCAGATTAATAAAAACATTAGTGTGCACATGACATGCCAGACATGGTGGCTCACATCTGTAATCCCAACACTTTGGGAGGCCAAGATGGAAAGACCACTTGAAGCCAGGAGTTTAAGATTAGCCTGGACAACATAGGGAGACTCTGTACCAAAAAAGAAAAAACAATGTGCACAGAACCCAGCAGGCGGGTTGAGTGTGGCTGCACTGTCAGTGCAGACTGGCTCCAGCTGAGGGGGTTTCTTTTCCAGGCCATCCTCCAGGGCCTGGCACTCCCAGGTTGCCTTCACACTTCTCAAAGCCACCAAGACAGAGTCCTAACCGGATTCAGCACTTGGAACTTCCCCTGAAACCTCTACCCATCCCTTCAAAATGTGTTCGTTGCAGCTAATAAGCCATCTGAGTTCCATATTTGCAATTTCACAAAGGCTTCTTGACATATGGATGC